GTGTGTGTGTGTGTGTGTGTGTGTGTGTGTGTGTGTGTGTGTGTGTGAGTTATCGACCCGCTGCCATCTCTGGGTTACCCACACAGGTCAAGTCCTGGCCCTTTTGGTTGAGCTTAGGTACTCAAGAGCCTGAAGGAGAGCCGGACTCGGAACTGAACTGGACGGGCACCTCCAATCTTGGCATCAATATTGGGTGTGGGAGCAATTTAAAGTCTTGATGACATCTGCAGTTCGAAGTCTCCTCCCGCGAGACCACTATCTCTATCCTGGAGGAGACTCTGCTCCTCCCCCTTCCTGGAGCGTGACCCCCCCACCCCCTTCTCGACTGAGCCCTGTGGAGATTGGTCCGTTGGTGCGGGAACGATGGAGGAAACCCCTCTCAAAGTAAGAAGTCTGCCCAAGCCTCCCGGGGCCCAGACGCACTTTAGGAGTCCTTCAGGCCTCGAGAGTAGCCTGGGTGCTCGGCAGCTCCCCTAGAATCCCCATTCCAGCCCATCCTCCCTGCCCTCTCCAGCACCCCGAGTTCCTTGGCTTCCTTCCTTGTGTGTGACCCGCAGCCTGCGCCCAAACACGCACACCATCGCCGCAGCTCCACCAGATCGAACCTGTTCGGAGACGTCCGTAACCTATGGAGCACGGCCACGATGTCCACGATTGCAAACGTGTCGGTGTCGGACGTCTGCGAGGACTTCGAAGAGGAGAATAAAGACAGCAAGCCTCGCAAGTACAGCCAGACCATTTCTATGAAGGAGAACCTCAACCTCAAGCCAGAGGAGATCCAGCAGCAAGCACGTTTAGAGCTGTTGCTGCACGGTAGCAGATCGCTGGACGTCGATGCCCTCCTAGAGGAGGAGCGCGAAGAATCCATGCTCTCCTTAGGTCAGTGTAGTCTCCAGGAGGCGGTGGGTGTGCCACAGGGGTGGGGCTAGCCGGAGTGTCTGCTAACTTCCCTTCCTGCGAAACGGGGCTAAGCCCTGAGGATCCCAAGTTTCTGGGATTTCTTGGGAGTGGGGGCAGGTAGGAATCTTTACGCTTCAACTCACCCATTCTTTGGGCGCCCCCTACCGGGCAGGCGTCCTACTACGAGGAACCCAAGAAACACAGAAAGAAGGGCAGGCAGACAGGGCAGTGAAGACACGGTGGTTTTCTTATTTGTTGAATGTGGCCCTGGAGAGTCCGACCGAGGACATCACGCAGGTTAGGAAGTCCTCTACCACTGAGCTGCAGTCCGAGCCTCCCTCCCATGTGCATTTAACTTCCTCATCACTTCGCCAGCTGAAAAGACAGTTCGTTCCTCGCTTGGATCTGGCTGTTTTGAAGTGTCTCTTTTGGTCAATAGGTGTGTGTGTGTGTGTGTGT